ATATGTATATATTTATATAAATATATACAATTTCAGAATCAAACAGAGCACTCTCATAATAACGTAACACTATCAGAGACTGGATATATCCCCCCCCCCCCCCCTCTCCCCTCTCTGGTCGCTACAATGAGGAATATAAATTACGGGCCAAAAGTTGTATTTACAAGTATTAAAAGTAAGCAGAGGACACCAAACCAACTGAGACCTGTCTGTCCGCTGCATCTACGCACACACTGTACCACACACACCTACACCACACACACGCACATACAGTTCCTAAAACAGGCTACAGCCGTTGTGTATTTTATTATGTGAAGCACTAAATGGTTTTAGAAAAATATCTCTTTGACTCTTTGTTTGTAGATATCTACTAAACTAAAGCAAATAAAAAGAGTAGGCCTGTTATACTGAGTGATATATATTATACACACTGCTCTGCTTTCTGCACGGACATCACAGCTGTTCTCACTGGAAACATTGCGTCGCGATGAAAGCAGTTAATACAATAATATCCAGGGGATGCATGCAGAGCTGTCATTGGCTGAGATAAGTCCGGCCGTGCATCACGACTCTTTGAAACATCTCTGTTCCCGGAAATGCATCCACGAAGGAGCCGTGAAGGACCCATCAGTGTATCCTCTGTTATAGCTCCTCCAGAGAGCCTCCTCGGCGCTCGATCCTCGTTCCTCGATGTGCATTTAGAGAAATTAGATGTCCTTCAACATGGCGCGCTGAAATTCATTTCCGGGTCACTACCGGAGGACCGAGGAGTCGAGGAGGGGGATTTGATGAAATGAGAAAGGGCCCAGGTGAGCACTGGAATGCTAGTACTTATGTCAAGGGCGCCGGAAGCGGGGGGGCCAGGGGGCCATTGGCCCCCCCACTTTACGGCCCTGCCCCACATTTTCGCAGCAGCGGATGCCGCGGAACACTGTACACATCCCGTTTCAATAATTCCCCTCTACTCTAAAGTCGCATCTAAAAAGAACGCCATCTGATCTAGCTGTGTATATTTTGTTATTGTTGATTGTTATATTCAATCTCATTAGCTACAGGCCTTTTTGAAGCTTGTGAAGGGAAGAACACAGCTCACCTCTCACTCGCCACTCTGCTCGTCCACACCGCCGCTTCCCCTCCCTCCGCTGACATTATGAATGTAAGCCATAATCATAGATAACACCGCAGGGTCCGTTACAGTTTGTTTTCATCTGATTTCAAATAAACAAAGTCTTCGCTTTCAGAATATTAAACTTGTTTCGGCAAATTCAGATGATAAATACAGCTTTGAAGCTTTTAACGGCATAATTACAAGCGGAGAACGGAGTAACTTGACGTCACAGCAGGCATAACAACAGCCGGTGTTTCTCCTGAGAGTTTTCCCCGGGAAACAAACGCAAAAATACACAAACACACACACACGTGGTATACACACACACACTCGCAAGCTCCCCCCAGACCAGTAATCCAAACGAAAATATCTTCCCTACTTTGACCATTTGCTCCGCTAATAATCAATCAGATCGATCCAGAGAAGAGGAAACTTTAAGGCCTTTTCTCAAAATGATGACTCGGTGACAGTCATTATATAATGTGACATATTTTGCTTAATATAGTAGGCTACAAAAACAATCCTGATATCATTAGAAAGCTAGGAATCTCCTCTTTCCAACAGTATACAACTCAAAATGTGTCTTCGGATCAATGCGACTGATTTCGATGGAGCAGCAGGTCACTTTGCATTAGGTAAAATACAGCAGGCAGACATAACAGGAAGAATATGTACATTTTAATCCAATCAAATATTGTCACACCATTCAAATGTATCCATGTACATTACAACCAATAACAAAGCTTAGATGTGTTTATTTGTTACGTTGTTTACGTTATGTGTTACGTTGTTCAGTGTGTGTCAGCCATTAACCTAGATAGATAAACTTGCAAACATGTCAGAAGAACCGGCGCATAAGAAAACAAAATACAGTCAAACTAAGCTGAAATTCAACAACTTGAATGTCACATCCCTGACATCCACAACTCCGGAGCCTGGTCCTTCAACCATAGAACCAGCTCCGGAGCCTGGACCTTCAACCATAGAGCCAGCTCCGGAGCCTGGTCCTTCAACCATAGAACCAGCTCCGGAGCCTGGACCTTCAACCATAGAGCCAGCTCCGGAGCCTGGACCTTCAACCATAGAACCAGCTCCGGAGCCTGGTCCTTCAACCATAGAACCAGCTCCGGAGCCTGGTCCTTCAACCATAGAACCAGCTCCGGAGCCTGGACCTTCAACCATAGAACCAGCTCCGGAGCCTGGTCCTTCAACCATAGAACCAGCTCCGGAGCCTGGACCTTCAACCATAGAACCAGCGCAGCCAGATGAACCAGCAGCAGCTCTGCGGCCGCAGAGGCTGTCAAAACCGCCGCCGCCGGCATCGTTGAACCGAAACAGGCTGGTTCCGACTGCATGGAGGTTTGTTGTCGGGACATTGTGACGGGACAATAAAAGCTTATTTGGGCAAAGAGAAGGTACTTCAATGCAGAATGGTACAAAAACAGAGAGTGGTTAATAATTATTTGCAAAACCACTAAACGAGCCTTCTGTGAAATATGCAGATGTGCTGCTGTCAAACGGCTTGTAACTTTCTCCAAATGTGGAGATGACAGCTTTGTAAATACCGAGTTAATAACTGGAACTTTTCACAGAGCTTACTTCAGTCAAACACCAGTCAACATTCAGCTTGTCAAACAAGAGCGTAGCAGGAAAAAAGAAGATATGGAATGAGCAACTGCGCTGTCATATGTGGGCTGGTCTGTATAGTTTAATGTACAGGAAAGGAGTGAGCAGAGGGTTGAGTTGTCCATTCTTGTTCTGTTTTCTCTGACTATCTTCCCCCTGAAGACCCTCTCAGACTTTCATTTGCTCGCGCTACTAAAGAGACACGTTACCATGGAAACCAAACAATGGTGTAGCTGTATTGAAGTCCGAGTGGAAACAGTAACATTTGGTGCGTTATGTTAGAATGAAACAAATCAGATTTAGTCAGAAATCGGGAGAAATGCGGGATAAATATGACCCCGGCAGGAAAACGGGAGTCTCCCGCGAAAATCGGGAGGGTTGGCAAGTAGGCTATGTCACATACACACGCACTTTTAGGCCCCCCCACTTCTGAAATGAATCCGGCGCCGCTGACTTACGTGTGTGCCATTGTGACAGACAAGAATAGTCAATTCTGAGAGATAGATGTATCCTGATTGTGCGTTAATCTGTTGGTAATGCCTTGGGGTTCCAGTGGGAGGGATCACTGCGCTCTTCCTCGCTCGATTCAGACGAGTGAAGGCGGGAGCCGCGTGATTGTATGTCTTCACTTTTCTCACTCACTATTTCCCTTTTTAAGGTAATTACAGTATAAATCTATCAACCCATGTTATATATAATCCGTATTACATCACCGTGGTTTGTTGTGAGAGGAAAGTGTGTATTTTGCACTTTGTTGTATTGTTTGAAGGTTCTTGCTAATTCTGGCTAACTTTGTGGTCATTGAAGCTAGCTGCTGTATAGAGTGGCGAAGTCCCTCCCCTTCCGGGGGACCTCCATTGGCCCTTATTTCGGAAAAAGTATGTATTGAAGTCAATGGAGAGAGAAAGATTATCTTTTGATCCCGTTTGAATTGTGCAACGAATTACACATATGATGTTTGTCAATTTAAAAGATAATTTTGCAAGTCAAAAAATACAAATGTGCCGTAAAACTGTGAAGTAACACATTTTTTTGTGTGAAGCGCTCAATGAACTACAACTCTGGTCTTGCATACGTCACCAACACCAAGATGGCCGTCACGTTAGCACATTTCACCTCTTTCTTTCAGAATGAAGCGAAAAGTATTAAAAGAGGTGAAAATCATGTTGAGAACTGTACATACACAAAAGGGGAGTTAGTCGGTTCCAGCATGCGGGACCGGCTTTACAAGGTTTCGGTGAGTAACACGAGTGTAATGTGTAACGTTAATGTCAGCTAGCTAAATTCACCTACGCGACTCTGGGATTTGTAGTCTTTCTACTTGCGTATTTTTCATAGTCTTATATTTCAACAGTTTTAAGACAAACTGTGACTTTTTTGACATGGAAATTATTTTTTAAGATTGACTAACATCATGTGTAATTTACGGTGGCCGGCAGGTGCAAACGCGGAACAACGGCCAAAAACACATACATTAGCAGGAAACAGCTGCAAATCCTGAAATGAAAAACAAACAAATCCTGAAAACAAATACAACCAAAAAACGCTGCATTTACAGAGATGATGCAAACTAAATACAACACACAAATGCTGCAAATAACAAAACGATATGCAAAGTCCAAAGCACGTACAAATCCCAAAACACATACAAAAAAAAAAACATTCCGGAAGTGCTACAGGCCTCTAGGGGGCGCGCTACGTGGAACAGATTGATGTCTGACCAGACATAGAGTGAACGAACAAGAGTGCTGCAAATTGAAGCCGGAGGAAAAAAAGTTGATCGAAGTAGAAAAAGTCAATATATAAGAAGATAAGTCTTGTTTTGATACAAAGAGCGTCATATTTACCCAGCAAGCGTTAGCTTGTTTGGTAAAAGAGCTTGCAAGTCAAGAGACAGCACTGTGCACCTAAATGTAACTCTTGACATCATATAGATATATTAGGTGCAGAAAGGAGTTGGTTTATTGTGCCCCAATGTAAATCCTAATGTGAGAGTTAAAGGACGGTCAACAATATAATGTACCTTGGTCAGTTTGGATTTATCCTTAATTAAAGTGAATTTATTTTATTTCAGTCTGTCATTTGTGTATGCAGGTATGGGACATTGCAAATGTTCCAAAAGTGAGCACTCCACGAATGGACAAGTTTGCCAGGGTAAAATAAAACATTGTCAACATATTATTTTGTGCCACAAGAAGCAGAATGTTTTAACAGTACAGTAGTTTGAATATATTTGTTGTTTACCTTTATCAGACCTCTCAGGCACCCACAACCAGCGTCTGATCGGGTAAGACTAATTAAAAATGTAATTATACCATGTAGGTTTGAATTTCCATCCATCCATCCATCTTCTTCCGCTTATCCGTGGTCGGGTTGCGGGGGTAGCAGTTCCAGCAGAGAGCCCCAAACTTTCTTTTCCCTGGCGACATCAACCAGCTCTGACTGGGGGATCCCAAGGCGCTCCCAGGCCAGCGAAGAGATATAATCCCTCCACCTGGTCCTAGGTCTACCCCTTGGTCTCTTCCCAGCTGGACGTGCCTGGAACACCTCCCTAGGGAGGCGCCCAGGTGGCATCCTAACTAGGTGCCCGAACCACCTCAACTGGCTCCTTTCGACGCGAAGGAGGAGCGGCTCAACTCCGAGTCCCTCCCTGATGACCGAACTTCTCACCTTATCCCTAAGGGAGACACCAGCCACCCTGCGGAGAAAACCCATCTCGGCCGCTTGTATCCGCGATCTCGTTCTTTCGGTCATGACCCATCCTTCATGACCATAGGTGAGGGTAGGAACGAAAATGGCCCGGTAGACAGAGAGCTTTGCCTTCTGGCTCAGCTCCCTTTTCGTCACAACGGTGCGGTAAAGCGACTGCAGTACCGCTCCCGCTGCTCCGATTCTCCGGCCCATCTCACGCTCCATTGTTCCCTCACTCGAGAACAAGACCCCGAGATACTTGAACTCCTTCACTTGGGGTAAGGACTCATTCCCTACTTGAAGTGGACAGTCCATCGGTTTCCTGCTGAGAACCATGGCCTCAGATTTGGAGGTGCTGATCCTCATCCCAGCCGCTTCACACTCGGTTGCGAACCGATCCAGTGAGTGCTGAAGGTCGCAGACCGATGAAGCCATTAGAACCACATCATCTGCAAAAAGCAGTGGTGCAATCCTTAGTCCACCGAACTGCAGACCCCCTCCCCCATGACTACGCTTCGAAATCCGATCCATGTATATTACAAACAGGATTGGTGACAAAGCGCAGCCCTGGCGGAGGCCAACCCTCACCGGAAATGGGTCCGACTTACTGCCGAGGACCCGGACACAGCTCTCGCTTTGGGAGTACAGAGATTGGATGGCCCTGAGTAGAGACCCCCTCACCCCATACTCCCGCAGCACCTCCCACAGTAACTCCCTGGGAACTCGGTCATACGCCTTCTCCAAGTCTACAAAACACATGTAGACCGGATAAGCGTATTCCCAGGCCCCCTCCAGGATCCTTGCGAGAGTAAAAAGCTGATCCGTCGTTCCACGACCAGGACGGAATCCGCATTGTTCCTCCTCAATCTGAGGTTCGACAATCGGCCTGACCCTCCTTTCGAGTACCTTAGAGTAAACTTTCCCGGGGAGGCTGAGTAGTGTGATGCCTCTGTAATTGGCACACACCCTCTGATCCCCCTTTTTAAAAAGGGGGACCACCACCCCGGTCTGCCACTCCTTCGGCACTGTTTCCGACTTTGAATTTGTGAACATGAAATCAATAAATACCTTTGTGTGCACTTATTTCCTGGGTAAAAATAGGATGCAGCACCAACCCCATTCCAGGAAGAGGTCCAGTCTGCCCCGGGTCAGAACCACTTCTATAGGTAAACGATGTTGACAGTTGCATCGTGACACAGTTCTTTGGTGTGTATCTTTATTTGTACATGTGTTTGTTTGTATAGCCTCCAATCACAGTGGGTAACATTGCCAGGAAGCAGACAAATTATACTTTTATACATTTCCAAATGACACCCACAATATCTGACATCTTAGTGAAGACGATACAAAAAACACCCACAAATAGTTTTCAAAGATCAGATATTATTTGTTGCATCCATTTAAAATGTTTACAAGGATTGTGCAGGAGTATGACAAAAGTGCTGTTGTCAGTTTAGAACCCAATGTATTAAAAAAAAACAGGAAGAGGATTGACATCCTTTTGTAAATATGACTGTCATGCATATATTATGTATTTGAAAGTAATTATTCAACTGTCTTCTCACTGCAGCAACTACACAAATGTGAATGCACTTATCATTATTGATAGCCAGTCTGAGCCAGAAGACAAAATGGAGCAACGGTATTAATTGTTACTATTACCACTTAATTGTTCTATTCTATACTGTAAATCTTATTACTAGCTTCATCATTTAATATTACAATACATCACTTTGTCTTTTCCAGCACAGAATACCTGACTGCGGCACACATTGTTGCAGAACTCTCTGCAAAAATAACAAATACATCTTGCAGCAGGTTCAATATTAATAGAGCCAATGTATGGAATGGAGCAATCCGCGGCTTCAAAGGTGCCTCATTCGGCCCCTCTCATGAGATGTCAGTTAAGTTCACTGATGATGAGGGACAGACTGAGGATGGAGGGGACACTGGTGGTCCAAAGCATGAGTTCCTGACCCTCCTTATGGAATGCCTGAGAATGCGAAGAAAACATCACGTCAGCAAGCCCGCCTTAACCTGCCATCAGGCCCTGGGGCTGATAGTTTTTGTAGGCCCCCTATTTAAACAACAAATCAAAGTCATTTATAGCCTCGGCAGGCTCTGTGATCGCACTTCTCCACTCTGCTCTACGCGCGCCTGGTCCTCTCCTCCAGATGAGTGACGTATCGGGCCTCCCTCATGTATCTGTCCGGTTGCCGTTGGCTCCCCTCCATGTAGCAAGTCCTCATCGTCCTCCCATCTCCTCCAACGGACAATGTCCCTCCTGTCTGTTTTTCCTCTCCCGCTACTCCTCCATCGCTATCAGAACCAGACGGCCTACTTGGCTCCGAGGCCCTGCTGCCGCTCGGTACAGAACTCATCTGTCCTTCCTCCTCATCCTGGCCTACAGGTTTAAAATAACCTGTAAGCTTCGGCATGTTTTGTAATAGCTGCTTGTCTCGAAACTCCTTTTCCCTTGTTAGAAATTAAAATCAATGTTGATATGGCGTAATTTGAATTAAATACACTATTTAATTCAAATTAGTTTTATTCTGAAAAACCTGAAGTTCACTAACTATTAACTTAATACTTTTATTCACACTGGGTTTAGCACTAATTTATTGCCGCTGAATAACGTTTATTAGGGAATGTTTAAATAACCACAGACGTAATGATGTAATTTAACAACAGAAAAAGGCAGGAATTGCATTGGACCCGCCCCCCCCGACGACGCCGGCCAATAGGAGAAGACCTCAGATGACAACAGGAAGAGCAAGCCAATAATTGACCTCTTCTACGTGCTGACCTCAAGCCCACAGGAAGTGTGCCGGAGTCTGATGAGAATATTCGTGCTGGTCAAACGGCGGTACTACACTTCCTTTAGGTTGCTGGGCCCGGAAACACTTTTTCCCATTGACTTACATGGGGAAAGAGTGGTCTGTAACTCGTTGGATAATTTTTTTTAAACTAAATAAACTACCCAGTATGAACGTTTGTATAGCCCTTATTAAAAACATTCGTTCCTCAAGTTATACAAATGTGCTAATAACGTTATTCTGATTCTGAGAGTTATTTCTCTCGGCATTATGAACGCGCATCTAACCCATGGGACCGCGCCGCCCGGCACGTTCATGTTACATGTTCAGTACTACATGAGTTTCTCTTTACCCATGGATGCACAATAACAACGGACCATATCGCCTTACTGCCATCCCACGGAGCTGTAATAATGGATATATTGCACATGTTTGCTGTAATTCATCATTTGTAAAATATTATACTACATGGGCTGTATGATGTAAATCTTGTACCGTAAATGTTGTATTAAATAAAGTTAATATTACCGACGTAGATTAACATTCCTGTAGCTTCTTATTGCACTTGCAATTGTTTTAGTTACTTGTGGGCTACTTAACATGAATAATCACAGTTACTATCCTTTTACTCCATCACATTTCAAAAAGAAATAGGCTATTGTTATTTTAACTCCACCACAGTAATCCATCATCAGCTTGACTTTTTAGATAAAGTTTTAACTCATAACATGCTTCAACATATACATTTTTATATATTACCAAGTGGTTTCATGTACAACCCACACAAGTATCATGCTAAATGAAGCTCTGTTGCTTGGATATCACTAGATCCTGATGTCAGCGTAATATAAAAGTACATAACGATTGATGTGTAACTTAGCATAATTTACTAGCTAGCCGCTAGCTGCTAACTGCCGCCTCGTTAATATAAATCCAGTACCAAGCTGTCATGAACGCGCGGTGCTGTTACGTGTACGCAAATGCATGTGCTTAATGTGAACGAGCCTTTTGGGCGGCGTGGTTAAAGTTGCGCATGCTCTATGAGTACACATACGGGTACTTCTCAGACATGCCGGGTCATTTGTGACGTTTCGCTCTCTCAAAAGTTGGGCCATTTTGTCATCATGCGCTATTGAGCAACTCTCATAGGAATGAATGAGGCCCCGCCTCCCACGCTGTATCCAGTTCTTATTATACATCCATGGCTGACCTGGACTGACCGGTCGGATGAGGAGAGCGCCTCCACTCGCACATTTCATTTTTTACACCACCGCATCTTTTGTGTAATTAAATGCTGTTAACTTTTATAAGCTTCCCTTGACTCTTTTCAGTCTCTCCTGCCTTCAGGGTTCTAGAATATACTAACACCCTCAACAATTTCCTTTTCCGAGCGCCACTCTCAAACTTTTTCTTCTCCGACATTTTCTCCTAAACAACCTTCATCTGTCACTCAATCACTCGCAATTTGAATAAGTCACATGTGAAACATATTCTCATTGGCTGTGAAGTGGTGCCCACTGACTGTTTCGGAGTCATCATTTTTGAGAAAAATCTCTGGAATCCATCGATCTGATTGATTAGTGGAGCAAATGATCAAAATACTACGGAGGGAAGATATTTGCGTTTGGATTACTGGTCTGGGGGAAGCTCACGAGTGTGTGTGTGTATACGTGTGTGTGTTTGTGTAATTTTGCGTTTGTGTGTATTGTGTTTGTTTCCCGGGGAAAACACTCACGAGAAACACCGGCTGTTCTATTTCGTATATGGCTTCGTCCTCTAAGGCTATCGCTATTGGGTTATCCCTCTGCGCCCCCGCGCAGCACTGAAACACTTGTAGTCCACGCCCACCCGCCAGGTGGGCCCCACCCTCGGGCCTCCTTCCGGTATAAATAGGAAGGGTGCCCGGCAATCTGCTCCCTCTTTTCCTCAGCAACCAGCAGTACTGAAGCACAAGAAGATAGAATCATGAGCAGCAATGATTGTGTCCGCATGTGTCCTTCGTGCAATACGGGATACATCATGAGCTACGATTTGCACCCAATATGCGCATCCTGCCTGGGGCCAGAGCACGCTGACGCAGCTCTCAGCCAGCAGATCGCATGTTCACATTGTGTTCGTCTCCCATCATCCGACAGGAAGCGAAGGGTGGACGCTCTAGCTGCTGCGGGTGAGGAGGACGACTGGCCCATCCAGAACAGGGACAATAGCCTGTTTCTGGAGGCGAGTGGGGGGCAGGAGTCGGACGACTCCTACCCCGTCTCCCTCCATGGCTCGCCATGCGGCTCTCCCCTCCCCCCTCTTCCCCGGACGGGGGAGACGGGATCGGAGCGAGAGTCAGAGGAGGCGGCCGAGCACGTGGTCCCCTTCTCCGTGGCCACGGCGCTACCGGCGTTGGGTGGCATTATGCTGGAGCTGCCGGAAATAATCGGCAAAGCAGCAGCATGCAGAGGTCTCCCCGTTCCCCGAGGACGGGAGATGGTGGCTCTGGATGACATGGCCGGAGTGTTTTCCCGGGTTCAGACGGGCAGGAGTGACCCGATCTGGCCGCGCTTCCCCGCCATTAGGCGATACCAGGAAGGGGCAGCGGCGAACCCGAGGACCTTAAGGGCTCCGGTGGCCACCTTTGTCCCCTTCACTAAGGTGGAGGGGTTCACAGACGAGGTTTTTACAACCACCCCCGCTCTGGAACCGAGCTTAATGGCGTTCTTCGGGGTTAGGCAGGCCAACTTGGTCGCCGGACGGCGCCCTATGTTGGCCGCCCCCAAGGACCAGTATGTCGCCCGCCAGGCTGACCGGGCGCACCAGTGTGCGTTCCAGGCGTCTCCAGCAGCGAATAACATCGCGTTGCTGACCAACTCGGTGGTGACGTTGGTCGAACGGTCCACCACCATGGCTCCAGAGGAGGCGGAAGAGATCGCTAAGGCGGCCAGCACGGCACTCACGCTGTGCGCAGCCGTGGCGGTCTCCCAGGCAAGGATCACAGCCTGGATGACTCAGATCCAGCGCCACCTCTGGTTGCAACAAGCTGCGGTTACAGAGCCAGCCAGGAAGGTTTTGCTGGATGCTCCGATCAGCTCGGACGGGCTGTTCTGACCCCAGTTCCTGGCCATGGTTGAGTCCATGAAGGCGGCATCGGAGCAAGCGGCCTCACGGGCAGCGGCGGCGAGGGCTCTGGCGTGGCTCGTAGTCATGACGACCACAACACATCTCGAGCATGTGCGCCCGCTCTCGGAGTGGCAGCGCGTGTGTCTGATGGACAGATGGATGAGCAGGCTGATCAGCAGAGGGTACACCCTGCAGTTCGCCTCCCCCCCCCCACAGTTCAACGGGATACAGGTGACACGCTTGTCATCCCGAGAACAGTGTCTTGTGTTCCAAGCAGAGCTACGGGAACTCCTATTGAAAGAGGCTATTTCCAGGGTTCCCCAGGAGGAAGAAAATCAGGGGTATTACTCCTGCTATTTTCTTATCCCGAAAAAGACGGGGGGAATGAGACCCATCCTCGACCTGTCAGTTTTCAACAAGGCAATAATGAAAAGGGCTTTTCACATGCTGACGGTCAAAAGGGTGTTAGAGTGTGTTCACCAGGGAGACTGGTTCACCTCTATAGACCTAAAGGATGCATACTTCCATGTACCCATCATTCCGCGTGGTGACGTCACTCTCCGTGATGTGGCTGCTCGGCATGATGGCAGCAGATCACGGGGTGATTCCCCTGGGTCTCCTGCACATGAGGAGACTGCAGAGGTGGTTCATCCCTCTGTCCGTGGGTTCAGACTTAACTTACTGGAAAAGTCCCCACGTCCTGTCAGAGGGGGTAGCCCTG